TAACTGCAACTTTCCTTCCCTCCATCGACTACATTGACATGATTTACATAAACGCTCCTACAAGCACCCTGCAGATGTTGGATGCTGTCTATCATGGTGCACTAAGATTCATAACTGGCTGTAACTACCGCACCCATCAGTGCACTGGTTAATAGGATAGGAACTTTATTGGTCCTGCAGAAAATTGTTGTGCCAGAGTTTCAGTACAAAGGAACATACACAAGGAATCACACAAGATAAAAAAAAAAAAAAAAAAAAAAAATACCAGCAATTACGTTCTAAAACAGGTGCAGACAGAAACATTAAAGTGTTTATTGTAGTGCAGGATTCATTTTATTGTCCTATGTGTAAAAAGGGGGAGGAGTTGAAAAGTTTGACAGCTACTTGGAGGAAGAACTTCCTGTGGCGTAGTGTGGAGCACCTCGGTGGTCTCAGGTTTCTTAACTGGTCATCATTAACTTCACGCAGACTCTCTCACTGATATATTTTCATCTTTAAATCACTCCTTGGTCTGTTGCCTTCTTACATCTCCGCCTACATGTCACGTCGTCAGTGTAGCTACGCTGAAGACATCATTACCTGCAGCATCCCCTCAGTGCAGACTGAATATGGCAAAGGGCCTTCTCTTACTCTGCTCCTGTAATCTTGAACACCTTGCAAAAAGCTCTGAAGTTGTCAACTTTGATCTCTCTAAGGGATTTTAAACAACTGCTAAGTTCATGGCAAAAACCACCGCAGACATGTTCCTGTTTTTAGTATTTTACACTGTTTTATAATGTAGCTTGATTTTATTTTGTTTTATATCACAGCTTTTATTTACTTTTCATTGTATATGCTTTATGACTGTGTAACGTGTATAAATAAAGGTTGAATGAATGAATTCTTGCGACTGGATGTTCATTACCTGCTCTGCATGCATATATACAGTGAGCTGTCAGATCAGCAGCAACATTTGTGACGTTTGTCAAAATGACATCTGAACTCTTATAATTTTTTTCCCTAACACTGTCCAGAGCCATTTTGCAGTTATCTTGTGATCATCAAACGTGGCATAAAATATGAAGATTAGTAATTTCATTATCAGAGCAAAGAGTGAAGATTTGAACACAGCACGTTGCTGCTTCCAGTGACAACAACTGGTTCAAAAATGATCAGAACAAACATTAAACTAAAGAAAAACTCACCATGCAGGGTTCAGGTAACCCTCTGCTTAATAAAATCAAAGGGGATTTTTATCGAGAAGGATTCTGATAAATGGTTTATTATAACTTTTAGCCAAAAAATAGATAAAGCTATGTCTCTGGAATATTCCCAAAGATGGCTGCTTAATGTTGCTGGGTTTCTTGATGATTAAGTTTTGTATGACCAGTTACTTCAACTGCCTTTTGTTATTCGCCACTTCCCTTCAATTTAATATCCAGTTTTTGTTCTCTTATCCCAAATCAGTTTTTGTCTTTTTCTATATTTTTTGTTTTGACCTCTTGCTTTTGTTGCACCTTTGGTCATTTTACAGTGGTGGGCTGTAACTAAATACAAGTACTTTGTTACTGTACTTGAGTAAAATTTTCATGTGTCTGTACTTTACTTAAGTAGAGTTAAATATGGGTACTTTGGACTTTTACTCCACTACATTTTACATTAAGTAGCTGTACTTTCTACTACACTACATTTCTATAATGTGTTGCGATCCACGTTACATTCACGTTGCAGTTTTGTGATTTGTTTAGTTTGAAACTTAACTTATTTGTGCATATGCTGTTTTCTCGATTGAAGCGTACGCGATGTTTCAGTATAATCCAAGCAAGTATTTGTGCATGAGGCCCCTGATCTGCAATTTACTTAAGTCTGAATGTATGCTGAATCTAAAACACCGAGACTGCAAGGCAAGACGCTTTTTTTAAACTCATTTCCCTCTCAGGCTCCAGGCTGAGCCACCGATTGCTGTTCTGACCTTTCACCGAGGTTGAGCACGCTCTCGTTAAAGGCAAAGGATGGATTGATTTTTCAATGAGGTCTCCGACTGTCTAACCTCTGCACTCAAATCGGACGAACGCTCACTTATCTCCAGCCACTGTTAAAAAACAATGAAATGCAGTCAGCCAGGTTAGCTATTGTGCATCTGTTCTGTCCAGTTTCTTGAAATTATACCAAACCTTGCAGAATTCAACCATAAGCAGAGACAGCAGCTCTCGCAATGATGCAAATCAATCGAACTGCGCAAACATTTTTTTTCTTCTCTGAGTGTGATGACGGCTGGGTGCTGACTATCGGGTTAATTGGAATGAACCGGTTATTGATTTCTCAGGGATTATAGTGGGCTGGGGAAGCCTGAGGGGTTGTTTATTTAATGGACTTAAACTCATTAGTCAGAGAAGATGGACGGAAGAAAAAAAAAAATAGTATCAAATTTGAGTCATTGGATTTTATCAATTTAGTTTCATCTTATATTAATCTACCATACTCTCTCCCATGCTGTAGACATGGATACTTGTAATTACAGGACGTATTAGATGCTCATACATACAGTTATCAGCTACATTTACTTTATGCTTTCTTATCCTCAGGGGAGAAATTTGTTTCCATAATACTTATATAACAAACTCTAATCAGATAGACATACTGTAGCACAAATGTCACACATAAATTCCCTTAATGTGGTTTCTTGTTCAGCAAAGTCTTTTTTTCTTAAACACGCTTTTCTTCATCTCAGAGCCCTATCGTACTTCCAGGTAGCGGAAGCGTGAATTGTCCTCCCAAAGGCTGTACTGGTAACGACCGTTAGTTTGGACTGGTTTTACAAACACATTATAAAAGCCACAACAAAGCAAAATAAGCTGGACGTTGCTCCGGTACAAGAAATGAGGAAATGAAGAACCACATACAGGGCGGCTCTGGCTGAGTGGTTAGAGCAGTCGTCCTCCGATGCGAGAGTTGAGGGTTCGATTCCACCAGCAGTCACATGCTGAAGTGTCCCTGGGCAAGACACTGAACCCCTCATTGCCTCCGATGTGTGTCTCGTCAGTATATGAATGTGATAAAGCTCTGATTAATCTCTACAGATGCAGATTAGCTTCGTATAGATATAGTAGAGTGTTGTATGAATGGGTAAATGAGGACACAGATTGTAGTGTACAGTAATGCACTTTGAGTAGCTTGGCGCTAAATAAGTACAGTCCATTTACCATACAGTGCTTTAAGTTTCCCGATGGCAGACAGTCTCTGGTAGCTTCTCTTTCGGATGTTGGTGGTGTGTTGGTGAAGGATATTTTGTTGCCCAGTGTGAGTTCAAGATATTTCAAGTGGTCCACATGTTCTACAATCAGGTTGTTGATGATAATGAGTGGTTGAGATGATGAAGGGTTACTGATTATTTCTTCTGTTTGACTGATACAGTATATAGTTGTCTTTGTACCACACTTTGCATCCACACAGCAGGGTGGTCTTCAGGTCAAGGGTGAGGTTCTGCCTCAAGTGGAGGAGTTCAAGTATCTCAGAGTTTTGTTCCTGAGTGAGGGAAGAATGGAGCGTGAGATTGACAGATGGAATGGTGCAACGTCTGCAGTATTGTGGACTCTGTGCCGGTCCGTTGTGGTGAAGAGAGAGCTGAGCTGTAAGGCAAAGCTCTCTGTTTACCGGTCGGTCTACGTTTCTACTCTCACCTATGGTCACGAGCTCTGGGCAGTGACCGAAAGATTGAGATCATGGACACAGGCGGTTGAAATGAGTTTTCTCCTCAGTAGCTGGACTCTCCCTTAGAGATAGGGTGAGAAGTTCAGTTGTCAGAAGAGACTCGGAATAGAACTGCTATTCCTCCACATCGAGAGGAGCCAGTTGAGGTGGTTCGGGCATGTCCAAGTGGGAGGAGACCTCAGGACACGCTGGAGAGACTACGTCTCTCAGTTGGTCTGGGAACACCTTGGGGTCCTCCCAGAAGAGCTGGAAGAGGTGGCTGTGGAAAGAGATGTCTGGGCCTCCCTGCTCAGCTCAAGCTGCTGCTCCCGTGACCCGACTTCGGAATAAGCGGAAGATGATGAATGCACCACACTGGGAACTATGTTACTGTATTATAATACTCTATAGAGAATGTGATCTGTCTGCAGTGCAATAATCACAGAGTCTTTAACAAATGAAGCGATCGGTGAAGGACTCATGCAGTTGCTGTTAACCCCAGCTGGCCGAAGCAGGTGGCCACTCGTCGTTCGCCTGGTTCTGCTGGAGGTTTCTTCTGGAGGTTTCTTCTTGTTAAAAAAGGAGTTTTTCCTTTCCACTGTTGCCTTTGTGCTTGCTCAGGATGGGAGACTGTGACGAAGTGAAGATTCAACACATCTGCTGGCTTCCTTAGATAGATAACTTTTACTAGGTTTACTAGATTATTTTTACTTGGCTTTTTATGTACAAAGTATGTGAATGTTTTTGTTCAGTGCCCTGAGAGGACTTCTATTTTTGTGCTATAGGACTAAACTGAATTGAGCTGAATTATTGGTGTATAGTGTGTGGAGAAAAGGCTTTTTGCTGTATTCTTATCACATTATTGCATCCTGAACACAAGCTGTCACAAAAATGCACTTTCTGTGAAAATAATCCAAATTTGGAATAAAGTTTTATTTACTAAAAAAGCATTTAAAAAAAAAGTAAAACATAAAAAGGAACATCGTTTGAGGTGGATTTCAGAAACTATTTCACATTTGGACCCTCCCACTGCTGTCATTATTTCTGCCATTTTTCCTCATTTCGCCTCTCATGCGGCCGATGTAGAAAATCGAAGAGAACGGCCACCGGATCATTAGCTTGGTCTCCTAACAGGCTGATTATAGAGACGGCGTGGCTCTCATTAGATCAGGGCTGCCTGTGATGGATGATAGTGAGCATGTTGTCTGTAAAACAAGTTGAAAAAGAGTTTATAGCTCTTACAGAACTCTTAGAATTTTCAAGCATTCAACCAACATATTCAGATTGTGATCAAATTATTGTATTTCCTAAACGAACTTTCTTTCTTACAGGAGTTGACTTCAAAATGAAGACCCTCCTCATAGATGGGATCAAAGTGCGGATACAGATATGGTAAGCTGATGCAGGTATTGTTGGTGAAGGTGGAGCGGAAATGTTTTGGCTGTGTGTGAGTGTCAGGCACATCTACAGATGACATCATTTTGAAGTGTAGCTGATTCAACATGGCAGCCACAGCCAGTCAACCCTAGCCAACACAAAAATAGCTATAACTCGGTCTATTTTACTCATATTCAGCAAAAATTTAGTATGATAGTTGCTGAGAGTCATCATCAAGATGTATTCCAAGCTCAAACAGATTGTAATCTCTGTTTAAAACTTTAGTACTAATTATTGGAGTCAGCCTTGTCTGTCTGTTAGCAAAATATCTCATAACCCACTGGACGGATTTGAATAAAACTCAGAAAGTAATCACTGGATGAACCTCTACAACTTGGGGTGTCCAGATACTAGTTTGTTTTTTTTCAGAGTGAGTACAAGTACTTCAGTTTGGGTGTTTGCCTATACCAAGTACTGTACTTTTCGCCGTACACGTCGCCCGTCCCCCTATACAGTAAGTCGCATTAGACCAAAAATATTTAATAAAGTGGGAAAAAAAACCCACATAAATAAGTTGCATCTATCATGCGTCACCGCTGACCACCCGGAAACGTGGGCCGGTGTTGTGCCAAAAATCGATTGGCTGCCAAATGGCGGCCGCGGGAGCGTGCACGGGAGGAGACTTAAACAAGAATTTAACTAGATTAAAACAAATTATTTGCTTGCTTGAAATTATAGTAAAGGTGTGTCTCAGTCTAACTTTTCCTTATAAATGTACTTTGATGGTCAAATCAGCTGCATTTCAAAAATCGATTCGTGGCTGCGGGAGCACACAGAGGGGGTACTCACCGTGCATTTCTTCGAAATTTAACAAGATAACCACCTAAAAACAATTTGTTTGCTCGACATTATAGTAAAGGTGTGTCTCAGTTGAACTTTTCCTTAATAAAAGCACTTCAGTGGTCAAATCAGCTGCATTTCTCCTGGGCGGCGCAGCGAAATGAAGCTGATTGGACGTTTGATCCAGGAGTTCCTGAGCGAGATGAAGGTGGCTTGGTATGGCAAGCCAAGTATCTCATTAATAGCCACTTTTACCTATTACTGAGACACTTGGCTTGTCATATAAGTCGAGGGCCTTCTAGTGGCTGAAAATGGTAGTGTTCAATATTTTCTATGTCAGAATGAATGAAATCATCAGATCTCAGCCAACATTTGTGTAATAAATATGGGGAAAAAAACATAAATAAGTCGCTTCGCCGTATAAGTCGCAGGGCATGCAAATTTATGCAAAAAGGTGTGACTTATATGGCAAAAAGTACGTTAGTTAGTTAGTTCTTAAATATTATACAACAACTTTAGAGACACATTTCTTTTATTAAGAACAAAGCAAACAGTTTGCCGTCTTAATATCGCTTGTGTTTATCTTAAAATATCTTTAAACCATGGATTTTTTTTTTTTTGTCCTCAAGTGCAAAATGGAAGAGGACCAATCATAAAAGCAGTATTGGTCCTAAATATTTGGTCGTTTTTATGAGTCCAAACACGAACATGGGGCAACTGTGGCTGAGTGGTTAGAGCAGTCGTTCTCCAATGGGAGAGTTGAGGGTTCGATTCCACCAGCAGCCACATGTTGAAGTGTCCCTGGGAAAGACACTGAACCCCTCATTGCCTCCGATGTGTGTCATCGGTGTATGACTGTGATCTAAAAGCACTGATTAGTCTCTACAGATTCAGATGAGCTTTGTAGAGATCTATTAGAGTGCTGTATGAATGAATAAATGACGACACAGATTGTGTTGTAAAGTGCCTTGAGTATCTTGATTAGATAGAAAGGTGCTATATAAGTACTGAGTCCATTTACCATTTACGAGTACTTGAGGCTGGTATTAGGACATCACTATCTACAACCGATTCCCTCATGGGGACAACATAGTGTCGCAGAGAAAAGGGATTCCCAAAGCAACCAGGTGTAGGCTTCATCATATTTATTTACAAAGCTTTGGAGAACAGCCAGTAATCACAGATCAATGCAGTTACAAGTTCACACTTATCAGTGCTTTCACCTGTCTGAGGCTCTGACCCGTTCTGACTCCCTGAACAGAAAAACAATCAGTTTTGTAGCAGTCCCAGCTGCGCACAGAGGGAGAAGGATCTGGAAGGCCAAGGACTCTCAAAGAAACACGTCTCTGTAATCATATCAGTCAGACCTTGGGGATAATAAAAAGTATCTCAGCTGTCCTTTTACTGACCAGTCACATGAAGACGGATTGTTACATAGATTAAGGACCATAGAATATTTTAATTTCATTCACAACATCAATGAAAGAGCAGTAAAATTACGGAGCATGGTGGCGCAAATAATATACATTCCCTTGACAATGGTCACCACCTCATATCAACCCTAGAAAACACAAAAATGGGTATAACTTGGTAAATTTTTAATATGCATATATCAAATGATATGGTGATACGCACTCTTTCGAGGGTTTCAAATTGAGGAGGCTTTGGTTTCGTTTTTTCTCGGCACATTTATTTCAGCACTCAGAACTGTTGTGGTGGTTATGGTTTTGCTTTGATGAACAATAACGGAGTAAGTTTAGCTCATAAACTATCAAAGTAGTCATGTTGTTTTTGACTTTCTCCTATTCTTTATAGATTTTTTTCCACATAAAACTTGTGTGTGTTTGTTTGTGTGCAGGGACACAGCAGGCCAGGAGAGGTACCAAACCATCACCAAGCAGTACTACAGACGAGCGCAGGTAGCCGGGGTTCTGCTGCACATCATGATGTGCACAGTACATGCCAACTTAAAGCTAAACCTAAAGAGAAGCGTGATGAAGAGAAAACTAATTCATTTATGCCATTATATTTTGTCACAGCTACAAAACATAATTCATCCATTGAAAAAACAACCATATAAAAGATCGCCCAAGTGTTTTTGAAAATCTGTTTTTGCTCTCAGCAGCCACACACTCACTGCTGCAACATTTAAAACGGTCTGTTTTTAGACATTGCTTTGGGCTGCTAAAGAAATTTAACTGGCTAAAACGGAATTGTTCTTTTTAACAGAAACTGCTAATGAAATAGGAGATAAATACCGTATTTTTCGGACTATAAGGCGCACCTAAAATCCTTTAATTTCCTCAAAAATTGACAGTGAGCCTTATATATTAATTCTAATTGTGCTTACTGACCTCAAACCGATTTTATGTGGTACATGGCGCTCAAAAATCTGTCAAAATGAACTTGTTTCGCTTAATGCACCTTGTGTATGAAAACAGACCCGTTCATTGATATTGCGCTTTATAATCCGGTGCGCCTTATAGTCCGAAAAATACGGTAGTTTCTTTTTTTCTGTTCAGTGAATATCTCCTCCAGCCTGTGTCTTACAACTTAAAAATACATTTACTAGTAGAACGTGGACAGTTTTTTCAAGCTTCTGATGTTCTTGCTTTGCTCTCATTTCTTTTGGGTG